CTGCCTACCCTAATTCAAAGAAAGCCAGAGGCCAGCAAGGAGCCCAACGCACCCCGAGGAGGGTGAGAACCCAAGCCATGGCTGCCACTGAGGCTGGGGTGGAGCGAGGCAATGCAGCATGACATGATTATGTCATGCTGTTGTCCCACAGGAAATATATACAGAGAGAGCATCCACATAAACCTTTCTGCGCAAGAACTCTTGCATAAAAAGAAGTTATGCCTCATAGAAGGAAGCATACCTACACCACAAAAAGCCCTCTGTTAACTGACTAGATTTTCTTGTGCAAAAAACGTGCTTGAGCTATGGACACTCCACAGGTTTTTGCACAAAAACCCTGTAGTGTAGACGTAGCCAAAGAGAGAGAGAGAGAGAGAGAGAGAGAGAGAGAGAGAGAGAGAGAGAGACACACACACAGACACAGAGAGAGACAGATGTGTGATATAAGCAGAGAAAGGGCAACACATTTCTACAACACCATGCTCAGCCAATACTAGTCATCAAAACTGTATCAATTTTATATTTAAAAAAGAAAAAAAATCAATGGAAAGTAAATATTTACATATGAATTACAGTTAACTATTCTGACATTTGTTTTTATTACTCATGTGATATTTTTCAATGTCTAATGCTATCTGAATTATTCTTCCACAAAACAAACCTAAATATGAAGACAGTCATAAACCAAGAAAAAAATGCTACTAAATACTTTATTTACCAAAAATGACCTTATCACAGGGATCAGTCACTTTTGCGATGCAGACCACTTCTATACTTTAACAACTATTCTGGTGTTAATGAACAGAAGAAAAAGATACTGAAAGCTGGCTAAAAGATAATGTTATATAATGGAAAGATGAACAAAAAGTATTACAGCTAACTATTGTCATTAAATGTCATTTCAATACTCATATAAAAATATTGCTTATATAAAAGATCAGCTACCAATTCTTGGCCAATTAAGGATAGACTAATTAGGCTGTTACAGTTCTGGTCTCTCATATTAGTCTCAGATAATGAAATTTACAATCCTGTATTAGCGTTAGAATTATTAACAGGACTAATTCGACCACAATTTAATATTTTATTAAAATGAATAGCAAATTTGTATTTGTTTCCAGTAGAGGCAGAAAGGGATCATTATGATAATCTAGTCTGACCTCCTACATAACATATGCCTTAAAATGTCACCGTTTTATGTAGACCAAGAGAAAGGCACAGGTCTGCACTTTACCTTCCTTTTTTTAAATGCAGAATTTCCCAAGATTTGACACTATATATTATTTGCTTCTTGGCCTATTATTCTGCAGCTAGTGATCTGTTTAGTAGCATCAACAGTGTTAAACAGAACCAAAACACAATCATTCATTATTTCAGGTTTATTTTAGCAGCTAAATGGACCAAATTCAAGGTTGGCATCAGTCTCCTGATTCCAATTTACTTGGAGAAGAAAGAAGGTGGTCCAATTAAGAGAAACAATTTGTTTTCTAATAATATTAAGAAGCAAGATGGCTCAGTAACACACATGCATATGGATTATACCTAAGAATATGCAATTTACGTAGAAAGTTATTAAAAATTGTGCAAAAAGAGCCAAAATTCAGATGGAGCTGGCTTACTCTTAATCATTGCCTTTTAAAATGCTATACTGAACACATACTATGGCCAACTTTCATTAGCTGCATTAAAAAAATCTTTATATAATATGGCCAAATTGTTATAACATTAGCATTTTTTCTTACAAATCCTATGAAACAAAGCAACTTAGAGAAAGAAATGGTATTGTGTCAGAAGTTCACTATCGTAATAATATAAGATTCTGTATGGACTATTTGTTCTTTATTTAATTTCTCCAAATACAAAGAAGAGCATTTTGGAAACGTTACATTTGGTTCAGATTATTAAATTTTTTTAGTAAAGTTTCAGAGAGGCAGCCGCATTAAGTCAGTATGAAGTGGATTTTATTGAGGCATGTGCCCTAATAAATCCGCATAAACAATGAGAAGTCCTGTGGCACCTTATAGACTAACAGATTTATTGGAGCATAAGCTTTTGTGGGCAAAGACTTATGCCTCATCCTCCCTGACTGAATTGACCTCATTATCTCTAGCCTTCTCTTGATTGGTATTCTTTTCATATGCCTGTATATTTATACCTGCCTCTGGAATTTCCACTACATGCATCTGATGAAGTGGGTCTTTGCCTACGAAAGCTTATGCTCCAATAAATCTGTTAGTCTATAAGGGTATGTCTACACTTTCAGGAGGAATAACGGTAGTTCGAATTAGGAGCTTTAATTCGAACTACCTAATCTGTGTCACGTGTAGCCGCAGGCAGGTAGTTCGAACTACGGGGCGTTTAAAAATGGTGGCAGTCGGGAACATGCAAATGAAACCCGGGATATTTAAATCCAGGGCTTCATGTGCAAGTTTGAATGCCTACATTAGCCACCCTAGTTCCAACTAGGGTGGCAGTGTAGACACACCCTAAAGGTGCCACAGGACTTCTCGTTGTTTATGCAGATTCAGACTAACATGGCTACTCCTCTGATACTAATAAATTTGTGTGTATCTAAAGTGCCACAGGACTCCTCATTTTTTCCTATGAGAACAATAACTGACATTTCCAAAATATGTATTTTAATAAATGTCCATCATTATCCAAAATTACACCATCACATTTATTACAAAATTACACAAACAAATTAATAAAACTGCAACTAGGCCATTATAAACTGCAATAGTGACTGCAATTTCAAGACTAAGAAAATGATGCAGCAAAAGCAATTAAGTGTTATCAATGTATGTAGATTTAAATACAGACACACTCATCTAAACACCTTAACATACTTGCATAGTTTTAAAAACAATTATGGTAGTATATAACAACTAATTTTCCCACACGGGTGTTTTACTTACTTAAAACAAAATAACTAAATATTGATTATTTCTTTCACATGATCCCAGTTTAATTTTTTTGTCAAGAAAAATGATCTTACCTTTTTCTTCAGATCTAGAAGGAAGAAATTTCTTCTCTCCTACTGGAAGTTCCGGCTTTGGAGCTGAATATAAACACAAAACCAAACATTTTTGAAACAACTATAATTATCTTAGTCAGTCACTAAAAATATGATAATTTGTATTTATACTGTTCCTTCTGGAAATGATCGTAACGTAGTGTATAATCATTCATTTAAGCTCACAGATGTGAGGAGGTAGTAAAATATTTCTAAATTCAGATTCAGAGCTAGGTTCTGTCAGATATATCCAAGAAAAAACACAGTAGGATGCAAATAGTGTCACTAGCATGAATTTGGGGCTGCTGTTCTGCTCAGAAATGCAAAACTACTTTTGCATTTGGAAAGTCATCTTAAACTCTTACCATACCACATTACCATGAATGTGGAGTATAACACAAGACTTTACACAGGTAAAAAAAAATTAGAATACACTGCTCTCACCACTGAAAAAGAATACGCTGTTTTGAAACTCTCATTGCATTTATGAAGTTTCTAAAACAGTGACACTTGGTGTTTTTTATGCTCAGAGTTTGTCAGTACATCAGCATACATCTTTTACATACCTGGACTTTTAACAGGAGGTGGTGGCTTCTTTAGCTTCTGGAAAAAAGATAAAGAATTAATATAATTCACAGAAAAAGCCCAGTATCTGCTGATAGGTTTATAGTATTTTAGAAGGAGTTCAGTATCATTCCCATTTTACAGATGGGGAAAATGAAGCACAAAAGTAGTGAAGTGACTTACCAAGCTCACCCAGGAGGTTTCCTGAGTCCCACTACATTGATCATGAAATTACACAATACCCTTGTGCAGACAGCCAAACATTCAAACAAATGAATTTATGCATTTTATAGTGCCAAAACAATATACTTACTCAGATGAAAATTGGCCAAAGATTTAGGTTTTTTTCACAACATATTTTTAAAATAAGATTAACATATTTCTTTGATTGTTCTTCTGTTCCAATAAAAGGGTTTTGGGGGGAGACTTGGGATGTACGCTAATTAATAGTCCTTGGAGTGTTTGCACTCAAATATATCAACCTGGGAATCTGAAAAACTATCTAAAATGACACATCTGCTTATGTACAAGCAGAAAAAAGTATACATTAAATCAAACAGATTAAGTACTAAGAAAGGAAACTTTTTTAAAAAATGATGTTTAATTATACCATATCACAATATAGCTGAGATTCTTGTTTTTTAAAATAACTCATTTTTAACCTGGATATTTCCCACCAAATTTGAGACTATGAAATAGTCTTAGGTTTATGTCCTAGCATTCTTTTTATATATAACGCTGCCCCTAACCTGAACAGTTAGTCAAAATCTGGAGTTCTGTTGATGTTCCAGATGGGAGCAGAAATTGAGGATAAACAAAACTGCAACTAAGAATGTCTGGTTATGAAGGCCCGCTTCTCCAAGGCAGGAGGAACTAAGAACAAAAGCAACAGTTTATCTTGCAGCCTTGAACCTCTTTTGCCAATGGATATCGAAGTTCTCTCTAGCTTTTCCAAGGGTCACACTGGGCTCAGAGGCTACTAATAGGCTAACCTGCTTTTTGTCTCTGCCTCTCTGTTCTGCTTCTCCTTATTCTCTCCTGCCCATGTGCTCAAACATTATTCAGCAACAAACATATTAATATAGTTTATAATCAATATTAATATTTGTTTTCCACATTGATCTCTATTTTTAAAATATCTTAAAATATTAAGAGTAGCGTCTCTGCAATGAGTCAATATTGAAAGTTGTTCATGTTAAAGATTTTGTGCAAAAGTGAAAATGTACAGTATTCATGCCTCTTGACATTGGAGAGCCTATGAGAAAAGAAGGAGGATGGATTTGATTCCATACATTTTAATGTTCATCAGATCATAGCTCGGAAACTACCTGAACACAACAGTCATCATCATTCAAGCAATGAAATGTAGCAAAGATACACGTTATAGGTAAATTTAGCAGTGAAGACAAGGTTAGACGAAATGCTATTTAAAAATGTGGCAACTTTATGGCACAATGCACAATCCTGTGAATTAATACAGAAAGCTTTCATAATATTTTTGAAGTCACTACAGGATATGTAATATTCTCCAGGCTATATTGATATGTCTGAACCAACAAGACACGTCAAAATAAAAATGGATTACTTGATAGCATGCATGAGACAGCCAGAAGAAGTTAAGAGTTACAACACTAAAAATAAGCAAATGAAACCTTCAAAAAACAATTTCATAAAATTACCACAAGATAATGGCATTAAGTATATTTTATGCAGGTAGAAAATTTTCAAACCCCCTTGCTCCTTCCAAAATCTGCAAATTTTAATCTAGATAAAACTCCACTCGCAAAAGATTTTAGGAGGAGAGAGGGGATTTGAGAATGATTTGCTACCTGTGTAAAACCCTCTCTCTCTTTCTGGGCCTAAATGGTTATGTTCTTCACATAAAGAAGAGAATATATTCTGCATGGGCTGGGCCTGGCCCAGTGTGATCTTTATACAAGGGCATGGGGGAGCAGGAGGACAACACCAAATGATCCTTTTCTTCTTGCTAAGGGTTGAGCTGAAATTCCTGAACTTTTGAGACACATGGGAACTGTTTCCTTCCTGCTCCTTCAAAGTGCACAGTACTCAAAGGAGCTTGGAGTATCTCTGCCATCTCCCCTCCATAGAAGAAGAGATATAGCAGCATGCATGTTCCCTTGATATACCAGGAGTCTGGGACGCAGAAAACATCCAGATACTCCTGTGGGGCATTGCAGTTCTACACACTCCTTAAAACCATTACCTAGCCCAGGCAAGATCCAGCTTCTGGCTGAGGTACTTATGGCTCTCAAGACCCTAACCTGTGATCCTCAAAAGCTTCTTGTTCAGAGAAACACATGCACACATTCAGAATCGAAAGTGTGCTCCCTGAGCCGCACAACACACTTTTAAACAGAAGTGTTTGAATCATATTTGCTAGTGCAGGGCTGTACCTTGCAAGGGGAAGGAATCGATTTCCTGCCACTGCTTGCCCTACAGCACTTAGAAGCACTCTGAGCAGCTACTGTCCCTATTAACCTAGCTGTAGCTTCCCTACCAAGAAAAAGAGTTGGTCTGCTGTTCCATTGCATGCTTCCTCACCATGCTCAGAGTCCCAAAAAGAGCTGCATAGAACGCTGAGTCAGGGAATATCCAGTAAGGCGAGATCCCCCAACCCACACTGGCAAGTCCAAGAGACAAGAGAAAGGCAACCACCAGTTATCTCCCTTACTCACTACCCCTAATTACACCACAGCTCTGCCAACTCTACACCCAAGTAGGGACTCTTTCATGCTAGGGGAATTCCCAATAGGGGATTTGTAAACAGAGCAAAACAAGTAAGAATCTGTTCAAAATATTGACTCTGGCATGTTGCCTTTCTTTAAAATATGTTCAGTACCAGTGTTGTCTTATTTCCTTTATTCCGCTGTCCATATCCATCTAGACCAGGGGTGGACAATATGCAGCCCATGGGCTGAATCCAGCCCTCCCAGCAACTCTATGTGGTCCACCCAACTGATTGAACATGTTGCTTGCATGTGCTGCCAGCTATCTCTCTCCCCACCTTGTTCAGTCCTGCAGCCAAGTTACTCCCAGGACCCTCCTACTAGCTGTGTAGAAGGGGGGAAGGGTGAAGAGGTGAGTGTTGAAGTCAGGATGTCCTCCTGCCTTTCTACCCTTTCTCTGCAAAGCCAGGGTTGGGAAAAGAAACACACTCACCCCTATCTAGACCAGCCCTGACTGGTATTGGTCTAACCTGAAAAACTGCCAACTGTCTTCAATTGTTTTTCCTCTTACACTTGCTTTCCATGGGATCTTACTTATCAAATCCCCAAGTTTCTAAGAAATGAAGCATTTCATTTACATGTTCTGATTTAATTTTGACTTTCCATTTTAACTTGCAATGTTTCAAAATTCTCTAAAAAAAAAGTTTCAATAAGGTCATTTTGATGTTTCCACTTACATTTTTAAGGAATTTCTGTTCTAAATTTCTAATTCTCAATTTCTGACCCTAATTCAGGACAAATTTCAAAATGTCAGATTTTTCCCTGGGACAAAAATTCCATTTTTTAAACCAGCTCTGATTTTTTTTAATATACAAAAATCAATTTCTGCTTTAATACTACTCAGGGCCATAACAAGAACAGGACAAGAAGGGCATTGGCTCCAGTTGCATCATAATCAGGGGTGCTAACCTAAGAGAGGGGGCACATAATTAATATTTTGTCCTAGGTGCAAAAATACCTAGTTATGGTGCTGATAGTACTTACAAACTGAAAGTGGATCAAAAATTACCCAATTCCCAGCCAGGTCAATCAGAAAAGCTGTACTGGATACTGGAAACAAAACTAATTGCTCATTCAAAACTAGTTGCTGCAGGTGGGGCTGACATCACAAGAGTAATCTGCTATTTCTAAATGGTAGTAGGGAGATAAAATATCTTTGTTAAGCCAGAAAGATAAAATACCTACTTGTCTGAGGCACATACATGCTTAAATGAAACACATCTACATAATCTAAATCTTCGTCACCAGTTCTCTGAAAATCAGGCCTGAGAACTCCTCACAATTAAGTATTCTGTGAAGTAGTGATGTAGGGCCCAATACAGAATGCTATATCCACTGAAATCTATACAGTGAAACCAGAAATACAATATACGAATAAGCTTCTTTTCCCTCCCTTCTTAGAAGACCATGAATTTGAAGGGGGCAAGTTCAGTAGAAGTATTTCACTAAGATGCAAAGTTGGCCAGGCCTGTGCACTTTCCAATGAAGCTTTACAAAAATATTGACCTTCTTCACTAAAGAAATGTATAATTAAAGATATAGTAAAAAAAATGACTGGCATCATAATATAAACATTGTTGTGCATTATAATTTATGTTTTAAAATTTGCATTTCTAGCAAAGGATATGTGTCTTTTCTTTAGATTCTAAGAAAAGGAAAAAACATTAAAACTTACTGGAAAGTCTTTATCGGACTCCTGAATTTGAACAGCAAAGTTATCTGGGAAGATTCCTTCTTTACCATTAATCTCTCCTTTCCACCATCCTTGCTCTCCAGTATCCTAAAACAAATAATGCTATTTGTTATTTGAACATCACTTAATTATTTATTCATTTTATGAATAAGGCACACATAAATATTCATTATATAATATGAAAACCTTTTACTTAAGTTGTAAATCATCACCACAAGTAAAAAAAAAAAAAATGAAGTGTTTTTCCAAGAGGAAGCTTTATTAAATAAACTATATTTGGGGAAAAAACTGCATGTAGTTCAGGATTTGACAGCATCAGAAAAAAAAATCCTACATAAGTTATGATTACCCACCTTGGTTCTTTTTAAAACAAAGTTGAAAGTGTAATGCATACCTATTTGAAAGACATCTGTGAACAGATGTGGAATAAAGAAATATAGCTATAAAAGATACCCTCTTGATGCATGGACCAACTCTCACTGTCACTGCCTTGGACGACAAATTATTTCTCTTACATTCACAGATGTTTTCCAAATATATACGTTTTTATTTGGTACATATATTTCTCATTTGAATTATTCAATTTTACGAGAACTGTTAGATGAGAAAGTCAAGAGAGAAAAACAGAACAATAGGAGGGGAGAGTAAAAAAAAAGTTGTTTTTGTTTCAGAGAGTTCAGTGTGACAGCAAATTTCTGCAGGATAGAAGGCTTAAAATGTTCAAACTTCTTAATGCACAGAATTCAAATTGCTTAAAATTATGTTATGATTCAATTTAAAGCTTTTCTTCCAATATTAAGAACCATCACTACTTCGTACAGGTTGAATAAACTACTACTGAAAAATATGCTGTTTTTGACAGTAACAACTGGTTCATTCTATCAACAAAAGATTAGGTCCCAGCATGCATATCCAATTCAGCATTCAGTTCTGAACAGCTGCTGAAACTAAAAATAAAATGAAATAAAATAAACACACTGAGCTAACTGAAGGAAGCAGCAATGCAAAATTAAAATAAAACAAACATACATTACCGATCACTTAAATATAAACATGCACAAGTTATTTACAGATAGCTTTTTGTCTAGTTTTCTTCGGGCATGACTTTTCCACTAAGTATTTGGAAGACTGGAGGTTAGCCCTACTAATATCCCAAAAAGAAAAAGGATGCAGTCCACACTACTTAGATGTTAATGTATACTGAACATTTGCAGTACAGCCACCATACTGAAAAAAGAAAAGAGCAAGAAAAAAGAAAAGCTGAAAGAAATGAGAAAACTGGAGCTAAATACAAAACAAATTAAAGAATTTAGAAAAACAATAAATATGGATAACAAAAAAAAAATCAGTGACATTTTATTGCTCTAGTAATATCTGATCCCAATGTAATTAGGGATGTGAACTTTAGAAAAAAGTGATGGGATATTTTGAAAATATTTTCCATACTGTAACATTGGCCAATTTTGGCATTGAAAAATATGCTTTTTCTGGCTGTCAATCTTCAAGGTACCCTTTTAAAATGATTATAAAATACTTTAGGGAGGAAAAAAAATAAACCTAGGCTTTCTGCAGAGTTTATCACTTTTAGGATCAGAAGAAAATCTTCAGATGCATAATCAAATACTAGTACATATTTTTCCCATTTGTAATGCAGGTGATTTTTCCAAGAAAAAGAAGTTTACTGACTACATACAAGTTGTACCTTGTCAAAATAGAGCTTAAAATTGTTACTTTATAGATTTTGCATGGGAAACCCTTATCAAATACTTTAGCATAGTAATCCATGATCAAAGACTAAACAAGATTTATAAAAGTGGCGAGGAGTCCTGTGGCACCTTATAGACTAACTGAAGTGTTGGAGCATAAGCTTTCGTGGGCAAAGACTCACTTCGTCAGACGGATGTAGTGGAAATTTCTGGAGGCAGGTATAAATATGCAGGCCAGAATCAGGCTACAGATGACAAGGTGGATCCAATCAAGGAGGATGAGGCCCACTTCTAGTAGCTGATCTAGAGGTGTGAATACCAAGAGAGGAGAAGCTGCTTTTGTAGTTAGCTAGCCATTCACAGTCTTGTTTAATCCTAAGTTGATTGGGTCAAACTTGAAGATGAACTGTAGCTCAGCAGTTTCTCTTTGAAGTCTGGTCCTGAAGTTTTTTTGCTGCAGGATGGCTACCTTTAGATCTGCAATTGTGTGTCCAGGGAGATTGAAGTGTTCCCCGATAGGTTTTTGTATGTTGCCATATGTTGGAGATCATTTGGGAAGAGTTTGTTGTGAATACTAAATCATTAATAATGAATTGGTTTGCTTTGATTAGAAATATATACCATGTGATAGCCTGTTTCCTGAAGGGTGAATCCAATAAGGTCCTGTGATGGTGTTGCTGGTGTATATATGTGGGCAGAGTTGGCACCGAGGTTTGTTGCATGGATTGGTTCCTGAGTTAGAGTTACTGTGGTGCGGTATATAGTTGCTGGTGAGACTATGCTTCACGTTGGTGGGTTGCCTGTGAGCGAGGACTGGCCTTCCCCCCCAGGCCTGTGAAAGTGAGGGATCATTGTCCAGGATGGATTGTAGATCACTAATGATGTGTTGGAGAGGTTTTAGCTGAGGACTGTAGATGATGGCCAGTGGTGTTCTGTTGGTTTCTTTCTTGGGCTTTTCCCATAGCAGGAGGCTTCTGGGTACACATCTGACTCTGTTAATCTGTCTCCTCACTTCCTCGTGTGGGTATCGTAGTTTACAGAATGCTTGTTGAAGATCTTGTAGGTGTAGGTCTCTGTCTGAGGGGTTGGAGCATATGCAGTTGTACCTCAGTGCTTGGCTGTAAACAATGGATCGTGTGGTGTGTCCAGGATAGAAGCTGGAGGCATGCAGGTAAGCATAGCGGTCGGTAGGCTTTCGGTATAGGGTGGTGTTTATTTGACCATCATTTATTTGCACCGTGGTGTCCATGAAATGGACCTCCCGTGTAGACTGGTCCATGCTGACGTTGATGGTGGGGTGGAAGTATCTTGTCTGATACTTTACAAGATTTTATACATATTCTACACAGTACTGCCTCTTTTGACAGGCATTTTTATAACTCATGTGTTTAACAAAAAGCAAACTGACACCATGCTGGTTTATAGACCCAAAATGCTTGTGAAGTTTACAGAGACTTAGTGGGAGAATTGATACATTAACACTGTAGAGTTTACTCATTTTACTAATGCCGGGAACTCAGCAATTATGAGCATTAGTACAGGAAAGCACTAATCTTGCAATTGGATCTGAGGGGATACAGGGCCTTATTTATCTGATTTCATGATCAGGTCAAAGCAAGCCAATCTACATTTACACTGCATACAACACAATTTGAGAGTGGTAAACATCAGTTTCAAGCAACAATGGGAGGAAAAAATAAAATCTTGTTTGGACTTGACTGTAACCTTCGGCAAACCTAGACCTAATCTAATATGAAAGAAAATCCATTTTTACAAAACAAATACAGTGCCACAAATATAGTGATGTCTATGATGCTTTGTAAGTAATATGAATCATCCCATAGATTTTCAATGACATTCCATTCATGGGGAAAAACCAATGAAGTATTTATCTGACAAATAAAATTATACCAACTCAGCTTTTCTATTCTGCAAACATGCACAAAGTTCTTCAGGAAATTGCTAATGGCTCAGAAACTAGGGATGTCCCCATTACATTCACTAACTTATAATGTTGCTTCCCGTTGTTTGGCAATTGAACATAGGAAGACTGGATAATAGAAAAGTTAATTATTCCAGCCCCTGTGTTAACAGCTATGATATTAAGTGAAGAAATTTAGATAAGAGCAAAAACTGGGAACAAATTAGTTACTATGATAAGTATTTTTAAGAAATCTAGGTTTTGCAAGCACTGTGCTCCAGATGATAGATGGTTGAACTGGGAATGAGAACGCTGGATTGGGTTCCATTCCTGACTACAACTACTGACCTGCTGTCTCTCTCTGTGTCTCTTTCTGTCTCCGTTAGCCAATCTTGTCTACTTGGATATAAGGTCTTTGGGGAAAGAATTGTCTTAATCATTCAGTGCTTACCAAAACCTGCCTAACTTCCAGGTGCTATTATAATACAGGCAGTCCCCGAGTTACGCGGATCCGACTTATGTCGGATCCGCAGTTACGAACGGGGCCGTTCCTCTCCCTGGTCTCCAGCAGACCAGGGAGAGGAAGCAAAGCGGTGGAACACGCGGGCAGCGGACAGCCCAGCAGAGCAAAGCCGCGGAGCACGGGGGCAGCGGGACAGCCCAGACGTGCCGTGGCTATCCTGCTGCCCTCGGGCTCTGCGGCTTTGCTCTGCTCTGCTCCCCGTCCCCCTGGTCTGCAGAGGCGTCTGGGCTGTCAGCTGGCCGCGGGCTCCGCGGCTTTGCTCTGCTGGGCTGTCCGCTGCCCGCGTGTTCCACCGCTTTGCTTCCTCTCCCTGGTCTGCTGGAGACCAGGGAGAGGAAGCAAAGCGGTGGAACACGCGGGCAGCGGACAGCCCAGCAGAGCAAAGCCGCGGAGCACGGGGGCAGCGGGACAGCCCAGACGTGCCGTGGCTATCCTGCTGCCCTCGGGCTCTGCGGCTTTGCTCTGCTCTGCTCCCCGTCCCCCTGGTCTGCAGAGGCGTCTGGGCTGTCAGCTGGCCGCGGGCTCCGCGGCTTTGCTCTGGACGCCTGTGGTACAGCAGCTGGGGCGCTGCCGGTTGGTCCCGTAGCGCCGCTCTGGGCGCCACTGGACCACCCCAGCAGCCCCCCAGCTGCTCTGCCCCAGGTGTCCCCAAGTTAGCAGCTGCTGAAAATGACCAGTGGCTGACTACAGGAAGCCCCTGCCCCGGGCTTCCTGGAATCAGCCGCTGATCAGTTTCAGCAGCAGCTGACTTGGGGATGCCTGGGGTTCTTAAGTTGAATCTGTATGTAAGTCAGAACTGGCGTCCAGATTCAACTTAAGAACAAACCTATAGTCCCTATCTTGTACGTAACCCGGGGACTGCCTGTACAAGCAAACAGTGATAGCTACAGTATAATGAAACAAGAAAATCATTAAAGACATATTGGACTCTCTTGCAAAAACTCTACAAATTCTTTTAAACAAGCTTTGTTCATGTGTATTTCTGCTCCTCTCTGTACACTACTAAGAACATGAAAACTGGGTTGTAGTTGAGATGCTTCCAATTCCCCACTTAAATCAATCCTCTAATAGCCCACTTAGTAAAATATGACTATAAGTTGAGCCTCTAGTCCCGCATCCTCAGAACCTGACCAGTGCCAAACCAGAGAATTTGCTGGACCATGGGTTGTCAATACTGTCTAGCAGCCCAACACCTACACTGCTTATTGGGCTCTTAGAAGACATGTAGGGGTAAATTAAAGCTAAACAACAGCACAGAAAACTGAGAACCAGGACTAGTATCTCTAAACAAACTTAATAGACCACCAAAAACTAGGCCACACCTATGATAAGTATCCATGTGCTAAAATCATGTTGGACCAGAGAGATTCAACCTGTATTATAAAAGACTACGGACTATAGGTGAAGAAAATTAAGCAGTAATAGATGGTTTTCAACCATCCTTTTAGATGTGTCTTTACTACAGCAAAACATTTATAAAATGGGATAGGAATGCAACTTTTAGCATTGACTCATTCCTAGCACAAATTAGGGATGTTAAGGAATAGTCGACTATCCAATAAGCAAAACCTTATTGGATAGTCGATAGGACAGTTGACTAGTCACTTCTCCTACCCCCCTCCCGCTGCCTCTATCAGATACTTCAAAGTGGCAGTTCCGTGCAGCACTGCCACTTTGAAGCGCTGCGGCTGTGTTTCCAAGGAGCAGCGTCTCCATATCAAATAATCAAATGGTTGATGCAAAAATGCTTTAACCATTCGATTAGTGAATTACATGATACTTAACATCCTAAGCACAAACAGGTGAATATTTAGGCAAAAATTGAATTATTTTAAGCAGCAAGATAGATTGTCTACCATAAAGGGATTTTGTTAAATATTATGACTCTGAGATTGCAAATGTTACAAAACATTTGGATTTTCATGCTGACAATAATCCTTGCTTAAAATATAAGATTAATTACTGCATTGCAACATTTCAGTGCAAAACTGAACTGTTTCTTTAAAAAGAAATGAACTCACTACTACAGTCCAGTCTACCATGCCCAACAATCTATGGGGCATGTGCTCTCCAAATGAAAAATGGTCAAACTGAACAAGAAAGAACTCATTTTGATGTTTTTATGACATTGTGGTACATTACAAAATTAACTTCCAGAACAAACTCTGATCTATTACCATAATAAAATAATTTACCAGCATACTAATCAAAACAGATTAACTGAAACAGATACAGAAATAATGAGATATACTTGTGCTAAAACCAGGTATACATAATAAATATACGTGGTGTAACTATGTTTCTGAGTGCTGTAAAACATTTAAACCCCCTGAGCAATGCAGTTATTTATACCAACCTAACCCCAGGTGTACACAGTGCTGTGTTGGTGGGAGAGCTACTGCTTCTCATGAAGGTGGATTTACTACATTGATAGGAAAAGCTCTCCAGTTGTCATAGCAGCATCTTCATGGAAACCTTGCAGCTGTGATGATGCAGCATTTTAAGAGCAGACCTGCCTCCTACTTTGATGCTTCTATTACATTCATAAAACTGAGTGATTAGTAAAGCCTTACCTTACTTACTATCTGGATAATCTCGCCTTCTTTAAAACCAAGTTCATCTTCATTTGAACCTTCAAAGGCAAATAAAGCCCTACAATATTCCTTGGCTGAAACAAAGAAGCAAAATGGTTGCATTTGCACAATGTTTTAACCTGTTGTATCAAGGTACATAAATAAAAGCTAAATATTGTCTTTTTTAGAAGGATAACTCAAAAAGCACAACTTCCACTATAATCTTTTCATCTTATAGCCTGACCACCTTCAGTATGTGTTGCAAACGTCCAATAGAATGCTCCAGATAGAAGACAGTAGTATACTGTTTGTTCAGTTATCCCATTCCTATGGGTAACTTTAGACACCAGAGAGAAGCTGTGCAAGCAGAGTTGAACATCTCACTAATTGTGGATTTTAACATGTACATCTAGCAGAGATTTTTATGTGGCTTCTAACAAACTGTGCTCAAACACATCTGAAACTGCAAGCTTTATAACAAAAATGCAATATTAAACGTTATAATTTTACCATTTTACTCTCATTTAACAATTATTTCTGGCTCCAAGTCAATACAGGGTATTTTTTATTCCATGGTCTCAATTTAAACCTAGCCTATTCTTCATAGGAGCCAATTCTACAAACAATTTCACACACATTTAATTTGTAGCAGCCCTAGTAAAGCTAAACACAAGCACAAGACTTGTAGACGTAGGTCCTTATAGTTTAATTACAAATTATATAACTATGATTAAACTATGTAAACAAGGAATGTAAGCAACTAGTTGACCCCCCACGCCTGCCTCTATCAGAGGCAGCTGTGGGGGGAGAGGGAAAGCAGGAGCTAGTGCTGGGGGGAGCTTAAAAGATGGTTCTCCCCAGCACCATCTCTGTGGTGGGCAGGGGAGGCAGAGGGACCAGGCACAAGATGGCAATCTGACAATTTCTGGCTCGCACCCAGTCTCAGATACTGCACACTTCTGCTATTTAAATATATTAAAAGCCTGCTGCCTCTTAATACATTTAAAAAGACAGAGCCTCCGCTAGGTTAGCTCCTGGGTAGGGCTGCCAAGTGGCTGGGACAACATCTCTGTGGTGGGCAGGGGAGGCAGAGGGACCAGGCACAAGATGGCAATCTGACAATTTCTGGCTCGCACCCAGTCTCAGATACTGCACACTTCTGCTATTTAAATATATTAAAAGCCTGCTGCCTCTTAATACATTTAAAAAGACAGAGCCTCCGCTAGGTTAGCTCCTGGGTAGGGCTGCCAAGTGGCTGGGACAAAAACACACC